CCTCTGACCCTAATATAGCGTGCTCCCTCTGACCCTAATATAGCGAGCTCCCCCTGACCCTAATATAGCGAGCTCCTCCTGACCCTAATATAACGAGCTCCCCCTGACCCTAATATAACGAGCTCCCCCTGACCCTAATATAACGAGCTCCCCCTGACCCTAATATAGCGAGCTCCCTTTGACCCTAATATCACGAGCTCCCATCACCCTAATATAGCAAGCTCCCCATCACCCTAATATAGCGAGCTCTTCCTGACCCTAATATAGCGAGCTCCACCTGACCCTAATATAATGAGCTCCCTCTAATCCTAATATAGCAACTCCCTCTGACCCTAATATAACGAGCTCCCCCTGACCCTAATATAACGAGCTCCCCCTGACCCTAATATAGAGAGTTCCCTCTGACCCTGATATAGCGAGCTCCCCCTGACCCTAATATAACGAGCTCCCTCTGACCCTATTATAACGAGCTCCCCCTGACCCTATTATAGCAAGCTCCCCATCACCCTAATATAGCAAGCTCCCCATCACTATAATATAGCAAGCTCCCCCTGACCCTAATATAGCAAGCTCCCCCTGACCAACTCCCTCTGACCCTAATATAACGAGCTCCCCCTGACCCTGATATAGTGAGCTCCCCCTGACCCTGATATAGCGAGTTCCCCCTGACCCTGATATAGCGAGCTCCCCCTGACCCTAATATAGCGAGCTCCCTCTGACCCTAATATAATGAGCTCCCTCAAATCCTAATATTGCAAGCTCCCTCTGACCCTAATATAGCAAGCTCCCCCTGACCAACTCCCTCTGACCCTAATATAACGAACTCCCCCTGACCCTGATATAGGGAACTCCCCCTGACCCTGATATAGTGAGCTCCCCCTGACCCTGATATAGCGAGCTCCCCCTGACCCTGATATAGCGAGCTCCCCCTGACCCTGATATAGGGAGCTCCATCTGACCCTGATATAGTGAGCTCCCCCTGACCCTAATATAACGAGCTCCCTCTATATTAGGGTCAGAGGGAGCTCACTATATTAGCATGAGGGGGAGCTCGCTATATTAGTGTCAGAGGGAACTCTCTATATTAGGGTCAGGGGGAGCTCGCTATATTAGGGTCAGGGGGAGTTCCCTATATCAGGGTCAAGGGGAGCTCCCTGACCCTAATATAGCAAGCTCTTTCTGACCCTGATATAGGGAGCTCCCCCTGACCCTGATATAGGGAGCTCCCCCTGACCCTGATATAGGGAGCTCCCCCTGACCCTAATATAGAGAGTTCCCGCTGACCCTAATATAGCGAGCTCTCCCTGACCCTGATATAGGGAACTCCCCCTAACCCTAATATAGCAAGCTCCCTCTGACCCCAAACTGTCAGAGATTCCCAGCCCAGTCCTCATGCCAACAGGCCAGGGTTTCGTCATTCCCAGTTCAGTTACAGCAATGATACAGGCACATCCTGGACCATAGCTTTGAAGGCTGGGCTGGGGACCATAGCTGTAGTGGGCACCCAGTAATCTGTTATCAAGATCTATGAATCTTGCGTACTAGAGGTCTGCCACCTCCCATCCCATGTGAAATAAAGTCTCTAAATTGTACTTTTAACAAAGAATTTATCATAATGACCCATTTTCTGTATTCATTGCCTCCAAATCTATTTGAAATGTTTCCACAAGAGGGCGCAGAGAGCTCACTAGAAATCTAATGCTGCATTCACACATTTCCTGATCAGATGTGATTTAATAAGTCAAAATATATACATTTCATCGACATGGTGTATTTAAATGGATCTGTTAAAATTGACATCTTTGATTGTATTATTTGTTTTGTATTGTTACGAAATTGTAAGCATGGGTTGTCCTATACGTAATGATCAAGCAAGGTGTAATGTGTTTCTTGTTGCCTTTTACAAAATAAAGAATAAGAAACATTGACATGTGAATTGTATATGGTGTACCTAACCCGATATTAATTGTATCTTGTGATTAAATCCTATTTAAAGGAAAGCTGTCACCTCAAAACATTTTTTAATATAATAATGCTTTTATCAAGGTTTTACAGTAAATTGATTGCGTGTTAAATAAAATACATGTTAAAAAAAACAAAAAAACATGAGAAAACCCAATCCCTACCTTTAGTATATAAAAGGACCCTTCAGCTATATACGTACTCCCTGGGTCAGACAGTGTTTGAAAACCTCTATAAAGTCTCTATGGTCTTCCCAGCTTCACTCCCAACAACGGAAGACCCTAGCGACTAACCGTAGAGATTATAGAGAAAAACCGTAGAGACCACAGAGACTGACTGTAGAGACCACAGAGACTGACTGACTGTAGAGACCACAGAGACTGACCGTAGAGACCACAGAGACTGACTGTAGAGACCACAGAGACTGGCCTTAGAGACCACATAGACTAGCCGTAGAGACCACAGAGACTAGCCGTAGAGACCACAGAGACTAGCCGTAGAGACCACAGAGACTGACTGTAGAGACCACAGAGACTGGCCGTAGAGACCACAGAGACTGACTGTAGAGACCACAGAGACTAGCCGTAGAGACCACAGAGACTGACTGTAGAGACCACAGAGACTAGCCGTAGAGACCACAGAGACTGAGTGTAGAGACCACAGAGACTAGCCGTAGAGACCACAGAGACTGACTGAAGAGACCACAGAGACTGACTGTAGAGACCACAAAGACTAACCGTAGAGACCACAGGGACTAGCCGTAGAGACCACAGAGACTGACTGTAGAGACCACAGAGACTAACCGTAGAGACCACAGAGACTAGCCGTAGAGACCACAGAGACTGACTGTAGAGACCACAGAGACTGACTGACTGTAGAGACCACAGAGACTGACTGTAGAGACCACAAAGACTAACCGTAGAGACCACAGGGACTAGCCGTAGAGACCACAGAGACTGACTGTAGAGACCACAGAGACTAACCGTAGAGACCACAGAGACTAGCCGTAGAGACCACAGAGACTGACTGACTGTAGAGACCACAGAGACTAACCGTAGAGACCACAGAGACTAGCCGTAGAGACCACAGAGACTAACTGTAGAGACCACAGAGACTGACTGTAGAGACCACAGAGACTAACCGTAGAGACCACAGGGACTAGCCGTAGAGACCACAGAGACTGACTGTAGAGACCACAGAGACTAACCGTAGAGACCACAGAGACTAGCCGTAGAGACCACAGAGACTGACTGACTGTAGAGACCACAGAGACTAACCGTAGAGACCACAGAGACTAGCCGTAGAGACCACAGAGACTAACTGTAGAGACCACAGAGACTGACTGTAGAGACCACAGAGACTGACTTTTGTTTATTTCTTTCAATACTCAATGAAACAATTATTGTTTTAAAACTAATTTTCAGATGACGGGTGTCTTAAAGCACTAAATATATATATATTAAACTGTTAGTATTTCAGGAGAGTCATATACAGAACAATATTATTAATTCTTGAAAAAGAGAACTTTCCTATGCCCCACCCCCTTTATTTGAGTAATTATTAGGATTTATCAACAGGTCCATCGATTAAACTCCATTAAAGTGTCAGTAATTGGCGTGTTTGTCTAACCACAGTTTTAGAACAAGAATACTACTAATTTGATATTTAGTTATTGGGGTAGAAATCTGGCCTCGTTGAATAATTAATACCAGATTATGAGTTTACAAACGATGAGAAGATTTCCTCTTTAAAACTCAGGCTCTTACATTTTGACCTAAATTGTAATTTCCCCACAAATCACTATTTAATGACTACATGAAAGGCCCATGGATATTGCCTTATTGTAACAGTGACTTAAAACACCTGCTGGATTAGCCATTCTGAAGCTTCAGCCCTTGATAGAAATGCTCTACAACAGCACCTCACTGTGGTCTGATAGGAGAAACGCAAGTCATTTAATTGGGTATGAGGTATGTTGCAAACAGAAGGCAAATGTCCGGCATTTGATTAAAACTTAAAAGGACACTCTAGGCACCCAGACATTCAGCTCATTGAAGTGGTCTGGGTGCATGTCCCATCTCCCTTAACCCTACAAACTGCAATAATTACCTCTGAGAGTTAACTCCAGCTCTACCAGACATCCACTAGAGCAACTTCTTGAATGGAAACGGATATTTGGTCCTAAAGCGAGCATGTCCATTGCTGCGCATCCGCATTACGTCTCCCCACCCACTGGGTGGGTTTATATTATTAAAGGGACACTCCAGGCTCCCACACACGTTAGATGCACTGTGTAGGTTAGGTTACAGTTAGTTATACTGGGTGGGTTTATATTATTAAAGGGACACATAGGCGTGCGCAGCCAATTGCATTAGGGTGTGCACCCTAAAGCACAAACACACGCCACGCGCGTGTGTCTCTCTCTCTCTCTCTCTCTCTCTCTCTCTATATATATATATATATATCTATATATATATATATATAAACACACACACACAGCTGTGTGTGCTGTTAGTGTGCTGTGTGCTGTTAGTGTTATGTGTGTGTGAGGATGCGTGTTTGTGACTGTGCTGTTTGTGTGTGTATGTTTGTCCTGTGAGGGTGCTATTTGTGAGGGTGCTGTTAGTGTGCTGTGTGTGAGGGTGTTGTGTTTTTTTTAAAGGTGCTGTGTGTGTTTGTGAGGGTGCGGTTAGTGTACTGTGTGTGTGTGAGCTGTATGTGTGTAGGTGCTGTATGTGTGTGCTGTATGTTTGGAGGGATTTGGCAGATTAGTAAATCCTTGCTGCCATGTGCCATCCCTGGTGGTCCAGTGGAGAGTGAACTCTAGCCTGCGGGGCTAGAGTTAACTCTCGCGAGATCTGAGCATTGCCGCAGCAACGCTCAGATATCGCGAGAGGAACCTGGCGGAGCTTCTGTCTAGAGCTCCCTGGGTTCTCTCCTGCCTCCCTCCATGCTGCTGTGGGCTGGTGAGGTAGATCTTTGGTCTCCCCACCAGCCCATGGAGGCTTAGAGCAGAGCCGGCACTCAGATAGCGCCAGCTCTGCGTGTGTGTGTGTGTGTGTGTGTGTGTATATGTGTATATATATATATATATATATATATATATATATATATATATATATATATATATGTACACACACACACACTGACAGACACACACACATACATACTCACAGACACACACAAACACTCACACACTCACAGACACATACATACTCACAGACACACACTCACAGAAACACACACACACTCACAGAAACACACACACAGACACAGACACACACACATACTCACAGAAACACACACACAGACACAGACACACACACATACTCACAGACACACACACACATACTCACAGACACACACTCACAGACACACTGACACACACACATACATACTCACAGACACACACTCACAGAAACACACACACACTCACAGAAACACACACACACAGACACACACACATACTCACAGACACACACACACTGACACACACATATACTCACACACACTCACAGACACACACACTGACACACACACACACACATTATTATATATATATATATTTTTTTTAAATGTCCACCCAGCCTCCTACCTGGAGTGCTGGTGGACTTGTCCCTGGGGTCCAGTGGGGGCGGGCGCCTTTCTACAGTTCAGCCGCGGCGAGGGAGCTCTCTGCTCTCTGCTCTCTGCTCCCTCTCGCCGCGCGGGCTGTCTGCTGGAGCTGGGAGCCGGAATATGACGTCATATTCCGGCTCCCGGCATCAGCGCGCGGCGAGAGGGAGCAGAGAGCTCCCTCGCCGCGGCTGAACTGCGGGGAGGGGAGGGGCGGGGGGGTAATCCATCACCTCTTGCCCCCCCCTCCCCCATGACAGGGGCAAGAGGTGAGACAGGGGGGCGCTGAGTGCCTGCAGGAACAGCGTTCCTGCTCAAAAAAAGTGCAGGAACGCTGTTCCTGCAGGACTCAAGCCATAAGCGTGCCACGGGGATTAGGGTGTGCCCAGGCACACCCGGCAC